TTTATTCGTTGCTCTGCTTATTACGTAAATAGTAACCAACTCTGTCAAGGTTCCTTGCATGAAAATGCCCCCAACATGATGATAACACGCAGTGGTGAGCAGCAGCAGAGCATCCAGCCAGCAAATACCAGTCACCCTCAGCTTAACTTGGTTGCTTTTGGCTGTTTACCTTCATACCATTGCTTGATAAGAAAGCTTTTAATCAAGTAAAGATACAGAACGAATATGGAAATGCTGGAAATTAGAAACCAAACAAGAAATTGCCGGAATTGCACCACAGTGTGTGAGTGAGAGAGATGCACCCAGAATTGTAGTATCTCATCAGATGAAGATAGTTTTAGTGTCTCAATCAGAGCATTCAAATACTTGAGGAAATTGCATTGTTCCATGACAACACTATTAGTCCAGCCTTGTACAAGCTTATCTGGATGAGATCCCAGTGGCTGCATGAGTGAGCATCCCAGTGGAAGAAAACAAAGTCAAATGCCTCCAGCAGAGGAGGAGGAGATAGAAGAAAATCAGAGGAGAAAAAATTGTCCCACATATAAATGAAGAGAAAAACTTAATTAAAAAAAGGCGAGTATCAAATTGAGTATTGGACGAACTATTGGGATCAAATTTCTACTAATTAGGAAAAGCAGAAGCCCTTGATGCTGATGACTCCAATGTTGTTATCATAATTATAAATGTAACACTGGAGTATTGTTACAAATATAACTGCTGTCAACTGTGGTGACTTTGTATTTTTGTAGTCAAACGTGGGAACCAATGTGTGCACAACAAGACTCATAAACAGCCAAAAAGTGAATGATTAATTGATCTGCAGGATTGTTGTCCAGGACTCCCTTGTCTTTTTGAATAATATCACTGATCTTTAACACCAACCTGTAGAACAAGTGGAGCTCAATTTAACTAATGTTTCATCCAAACAGTAACACATTTGAAAATGCAGCCCTCGCTGCAGTCCTGCACTGGAGTGTCAGCCCCAGATGAGGGACTTCTGTAAGATCCACTCTGTCATTTCTCTCAAAGCAGAAGAGCTTGTGTAATTATTGCTCGTAGCTTACTTCTCTACCACCAGGGATCATCCTCATTGCTCTTCTCTGCCATTGCCTCAAGGATCTGGGCAGGCCATCTTCTCTCACAGAACTGGAGGTGTGCTCTGACACTGTGTATGATGTCTGGTGATCTTAACTGCTATAAAAGAGAACACAAATATGCAACCTATGAGGTGCAGAAAGGTCAGCTGGCCACTTAAGCTGTGACTTTCTTGAAGTGGCAGTGACTACAGGTGATTTTCCATCCCAAGGGATGATAATATTTTATTTATATGTGACGCTTGAATGAATGAGGAAGAATGTCTTTTTTCTGCATTTTACAGACAGATGGCAAACAGATGCTAATGGCATGCATTGCAGGACATGTGGTAATATTTAAATCTCTACATTGGCTTTGCATATTATTGTGAAAACATTTCACAGAACTGAAAAATGTATTGCAAGATAGAGAAAAAAACACTGTCCACTATTGAGAGTTGACGATCTAGATGGAATGTTATCATCGTAAAAGTTTCCATAGCATAGTAAAGGAATGTCCTAGACCAGGACTAATTTATGTTGCAGCATTCTACAAGAAATAAATGCTTTTAAAATTAAAAACCATTGAGATCTACTCAGAGTTATGTTGAGGGAAATTGTGTGGGCAATATTACATCTGTAACTGGAGTGCCTCCAATGATGCAGGCCACAGGTGTGTTTCATGCGAGCTCCATTCACTTATATGGAAATTGTTGCTTCGAATAGATTTGATACTGATTGCATAGGTCTCATTCTGGAAGAGTTATCCTTCCCTCAACCTTTGGAACTCCATCCCAGAGTCCCTTCCCCTCGGCCACTCCCATCCCTTTTTCAAGATCCCAACCACCAGCTCAAGTGCGGATCACTGACTATATGGGACATCCTCCTGACGTAAAAGGCGCTATACAAATGTAATTTGTTGTTGTTCAATATAAATTACTATTGCTATCTTCTTTGCTCATACACTACTTCACACGACTAATTCAGATCAAGGCTCAAGTTAAATGAGAAGCGTGGGGGAAGGAGGCCTGGAGAAGGGGAAATTTGAGTGGGGGCCAGAGTTAATTCCTTTCATAAATGCACTGGGACCATCATAAACATTGAAGTCCAATATTCTTCCCCAGATAACAGTGTGAGCTGTTAAATAGTTATAAAATTTGATCCTACTTGTTTTAGGCAGCTGAGATGCCTCCAAAGTGACGTGTTTGGCAATGGAATGTCGGAATCGAATCAATTCCTTGTGTCAGTCTCAGTCGTCTGGTTTCTGAGCCAGGCAGGGCCGCAGTATTCCAGGGCACTGCTGATGACAGGCCAGCCAGCAGAGGAATATTGGACCTCGATGGTTATGATGGTTCCAGTGCATTAATGAAAGGAGTTAACTCTTTATATAGCAATGCCGTAAACACTCTAGTTCTGAGAGAGGGAATACTGTATTGGAGGTGCTCCTTTCAAGTCAGACATTTCAACGTTATAAAAATGAAAGTTCATCCTTTACATAATGGAACTCAGAAGGAACCAACAAAACCTGAGACGTTTTGAAGAGGCAAGTCATTTCAAATGCAATGATGACAGGCTTGGTCATCTGTTTGGAGTGAGTCCGTCATTTTAAGATGTTTAGTATTTATTTTAGTGGGCAGTAGCATTACCAATACTTCCCTTTTATGCCAAATTTCTCCTCTCTTTCATCTGAAGGCCCCAACTCTTTACTGGGTACGTTCCACAGGTGCCTCCCTGGCCATGTCCTTATCCAAGGGGGCAGCCACTCTGAATGATTATGTGCAATGAGTAGAAGCAGGTTATCCAATCGTGGGGATGGGGCAGATGACAGTCGAGCGCGATCCTGTCCTGATCCACACATGCACAGTTTCCAACAAAGGTCATTGGATCAGGTGCAGTAATATTGGTTGATTTTGGAGCTACTCAGTATTCCTAAACTGGGAAAAGTACAGCCAAGGATCCTATTCTTGTTCACTAGCCAATGGTATATTTGCTGGAAAGAGGGCACAAGTGAACAGTGATTGGACAAGAGCAGGCTTAACTATGATACTCCTGTGTCAAAGCAACAAGTTTAATTTATATAGTGGCCCTCACGCAGGATAGCGTCCCAGAGCATATACTGGCTGCCAACACTCACTATCTAAACTTCATATGTGAAGAATAATTCCTTGGTCAGAGTGTTGCCAGCACCCAACATAACTTGGTGTCTCAAGGGGAAAAAGTATTGATAAATATAGATAAAAGGCTAGTCTTTTTATGCTGTATTCTTTAACACTAAACAACACCTACCCAATGTACCTATCTGTATAGTTGAAAGTTTTTTTACAAAGGTATCTGGTGCCACCTAGCTGCACATATTTGAAATAAAAGACATGCATACAGTACCTTTATTCTGATGTAAGCAAACTTCATTCTTGATAGCCATTTATAAACGTATAGAATTTGAAAAGCAGGATATTTTCAAGCAATATCATTCAACGGCTTTTAGCCATTTAGTGACTGGATAGATTAACAATAAATGGCACTGAACGCTGTAAATTTAAACTACATGTAGGGCTTGTGTTAAAATTAGGAGACGTAGAGACCAGTGGAAGAAATACGATTATACATGGTGCAGATAGAAACATTTGGGTGTATGGAAATTGCCCATGTATAATTTGCCAACATTTGACAAGCCAAATAAAGTGCTATACAATGCAAGTACTTTTGAGGCAGCTCTTGGAGGCAGGTACATATATAATTAAGAGAAACAACAGACTCAGACGTTCAGCTTACCTGCAATCAGAGACACAACTATTTTAGAAAAATGAGGCAAGATTGTGAGGGAGGCATTACGATAAGAGTTTGCTTGGAGGAGTATCGCTAGATCCACTTTGGAGCCTCTGATCATCAAAAGATCTGCAAACGTGATCAATTCTCAATCATTTTCTTAGATCAAAATTAATAGCAGGAGTCAGCGGAGTTGCTTGCCAGATAGCAAGCATGCAGTGATCCACTGAGTACAGAACTATTAGCTCATTATTCAATTATCTGGACTATTCATACAAAACAATGTAAAATTGGCAGTTGAAGGTTAATTCTGATAATTCTACAATTCTGGTAGTTCTGAGTCAATGCGTAATTGGAGCAATGAACAATGTACACAAACAGAAGGATGAACATGTGAGATTTATTGAGTAATTACTGTCTACACCAGATATTCATTTTAAGTAGCAATTGTGAAGTACAATATTTTGGAAACAGATTAATCTGAAGAAAGTGACTGACTGCTAAGGTATTGGAGGCAAAGGGGATGAATCAATTCTCACAGGGCGATTTTAAATATTAAGAGGCCCAGAAGGCTTGCAGAAGTTGTGCAGTTGTTGCTAAAAATTGAAACCATTTTTTGAAAATCCTATAACTTCTTTCTTCTAACAAAGGAAGAGGCAAGCTTTATCTAATATCTAAACAAAAAATGGTAAATGAAACTATGAAAACAAGAATTAATGGCATTTTCCCAAAGTTGCCCCTTTATTCTGAGTAGGGAGAGAAGAGATTAATGTCCCAAACATTTTTTAAAAAGTACATTTTTTACATATAATTCCATAGATACAGCATTTGAAACAGACTACTTGCCTCAACTTGTCTCGGTCAGTGTTTATACTCCTTTCAAGTCTTTTTTTCCTCCACATTGTACCTGAGAGATATGTTCCATATTCTGCAGGACAGAGCAAACACTAGTAGTTTTTCAAGTGTAAATGTAGCCAACTATTGCTGATCTAGTCTACACTGGATTGAACTGAGGATTTTCCTCTTTTTCTACTGAAGATGATGACAGTGCCTCAGGTTTTCAGATCACACCTGAAGACTTTCCTCTTTGCCGGTTCCTATGGTCACCTCCTTCCTCTCCCCAGCTCAGTATCAAGTCCCACCATGTTAAGCTCTCTGAGATGCTACTCCGCTTGAATGGCACTATATAAATGTAAATTGTTGGTGTTGTTAATTGTTGGGATCAGACAGATTGGCTCTTTTTACACTATAAATAGTGACTTTACCAACTAAGCCATTGGTAGAACTTCAAACTGTCTTGATGCAAGGTAAATCTGGTTTGAATGGATAGAAATATGTTGACAGTAAAAAAAAAGTTGTGGCCAGATCTGACTAAAACTAAATCACATCTATTTGTATAATCATGTCATTTGATCAGTGTAATTAAACTTTACAAGAAACTTTAATTGATGAAAAATACTGTTCCACCAATCCAGTATTTTATAGTGAAATTGCACTGGTGTGCTTGAGCCAAGCTTCCTGTGTATCAGTGTCATAGTGTAGTGGGTAATGGACATTCTGTTCTCATTTTGCTCAGTTATTTTTAGACTGCTGATTACTGGATTTTCTGCAGATGTAGATGATCCCTGAAATGTACTCAGAATCCTGCTCAACACCACTTGCAGACACTGCCCTTTCCCAATGTTCCACTTGTTGCACTTTCACTATGTCCCACAACCTTCTCTGTTCCATGTCCTCTATCACAGCGACCAGCTGTTTCTTGTAAAGTTGATTTGCAATGTTAGTCCGGGTCGTCATACATACATATCCTCCTGGAAGAACAAAGGACAATATTAGACTTTCACATCTCTGGGAGATTCCCAGTCATTTACCTCAGTCTCCCAACTGTCATTGTGCTGGATCACCCACAACTTGCTTTACAAGAAACCTTTGCTTGGCTTCTAGACGTACAATTGAACATGAATAAGACAGAAACATTCAAAAAGATCAGATTTTTAAAAAAAGGGTGAATAAAGCAAAATTGTTCTTAAACAAAAATGTGTCCATTTGCATCTATCAGTGATTAATTCAGGCAACAATACAATCACTCAGAGCTTTTGCTAGTATCTATTTTTCCTTTGTATCTTGGAATAGCAGAACCTGACATCCTGTTCCACCTGCTTCTCCTCTGAGGCAGTCTAACCTGTGCCAGTACTTCTATGGTAATCAAGAGAAACCCCATGTGATTTCTACGGCCACTCAATATGTGTGTCTGACTAAATGGTTATTAGCTACATAATGCAAGTGAATTTCCAAATTTGATTCACTAAATAAGACAATGTCCAGCTCTTGATGGAGAAGGAAATCAGAAGGGACTTTATGGGGCCTGGAGGGAAAAAAAAATCCACTTAGTGCTACAGATTACCTTGGCTCCTTAGCTTTGCGTGATTCACAATATATAACTGTTAAGCATATATTTTGCTTCCATCAACTCATTGAGTTGTTGAATGAATTTAAGGAAAATCAGGTATGGCACCCATTGGTTCTTACGTACCTGACTTGGTGACTCGATGGAGTTCAGGCAGGATGGTAGGTGGCACCTGTCCATCACTCAGTGCTCCAACAATCATGGTGACATCATAACTGTCTGAAACAGGGAATCAGAAAATACAGGGTGTGGGGGATGTGGGGTCCAGTTATATATTGCAATGTTTCGGATATTATAGTTCAGTATCCTGTTTCTGGTTCATCAGATAATAATATAATAACAAGAACAACAACAAAATTACATTTGTATATTGCCTTTCATGTCGGGAGGACGTCCCAAGGCACTGAACAATCAGTGTTTCGACCTGAGCTGGGGTCGGGATCAGGGAGGGTGGAGGTCAGGGAAGGATGGAGGATGGTCAAAGGCACAGTCGAAGAGGAGGGTCTCGAGATGGGTCTTGAAGGAGGCAAGAGAGAGAGCGAGGTGGAGGGACTGTGGGATGGAGTTCCAGAGGGTAGGACCAGAGTGGCTGAAAGCCCGCCCGCCAATTGTGGGATGGGTGAGGCAGGGGACATGAAGCAGGCCGAAGCCCGCTGAGTGGAGGGAGCGGGTAGGTTGGTAGGGGGTTAGGAGGTTGCAGAGGTAGGGGGGAGCAAGGCCATTGAGGGCTTTGAAGGTGAGCTATATCAAATGCAAGCATTATTATTAATAAAACACAAGTTAAACTAAGTAATTAGAAATCAATGAGAAACTGCAAGTTTAAGATGCTCTGACGAAGAAAAGATCAAAGAGCAAAATAAATTCATGCTCAGATATTTACAAGGGGCTTTATCAGCAATGTACCTGGTGAAGCAGGGAGCAACTCCATACCCAACATACATTTCTGGAGGGATTCGTACAAGCCCTTAGACTGTGCTATTTCCAACATTCCTTCACTCCCATCCACACCATGAATATGATGGAATCCAAGACCCTGTAACTAAATCAAAGAAAAGTTTAGCTATAGTATGTACGGGCAGGTAATGGCATTCGTTTTTGGCGAGATTTACAAACATTTGACAGTTGATAAGGCAAGAATGGGAGGTGGGGGTGATAAACTAAATCTGTGTTGTTGAACTCTGCAGTACTGTTGATCCTATCGTGCCCCAAGTTTCATGCTTGAAAATGAAGATTCCAAAACCTTTGCCTATTTTGTATTTGCAAGTGAACACTATAAATGGTGAACAATTAAAAATAACGTATTGGCATGCTTACTTGTACACAATAGCCTCTGAATTAGCAGATTAGTAGACAAGTCAATGGTGACTTTCCTGAACTGTTATTGTAATTCAGTCAATGATTGAGAACAAGTTCATTCGGTGCCACATAATCTAACCATTTATTAAGTGCAAATATCACTGGATCAATACAGTATAAAAAAAGACTTCATGTCTTTAAATAGAACATGATGTAATCTGAGATATGGTAAGAACTACAGAGAACTGCAAGGATATCCACAAAGAATGACTGCAAGGAGAAGAATATCATTTGGGGATTAATAATTATTTGCTTGAAGTGTTTAAAATAAACTAGACATGGGATGATTCTTCCCTCTGCTAAAGGGATTCAATGTAAGGGAAAATAATTGTATAATTAATAATAATAGAATTAGAATGAGGACTGTTAGAAGTGAGATCAGAAAAAAATCTGTTTCTTAAAAACATTTTGGATTATAAAAGTATGGAATGCACCGACAGAAACTGCAAAGGCGGAACCAGCCTATAACTATATTTAAAAGGGAGATAGGTATTTTAAAAGTGTGAATAGCAGGAAAATGGAATTAAAAGATTCACCATGATCTAATAAACTGGCAGAACATGCTCAATAGGCTGAATTGCCTCCTCCCAATCTTATGTCCCTAATAAAAGGCAAGACACAATGAAACCAAGTATTCAGAGTCTTCTCAGTACCATCTGTATTACATCTGGAGGCCGCAGAGAAGCCAAGGAATTGCCATATCAGAGCATAATTTACCTGTTGTGCAACTAGTCCTGTCCCACAGGCTACATCAAGGACCAGAGCTTGGTCTCGGCCTGTGGTAAATAGAGCTGCGAGACTCTGTTTAACAAAGATGGGAGCTTGATAATCCAAAAGTGCTACATCCTGTGAACATGGAATTGAAACATCAGTTAAATTGAACCAACTTTCACCAGTAATCCAGTAACACTCCATCACACATACATCGTTTTACATATGTGGTACCATTACTTTGTTACATTACCTGTTCATAACATTTAGCCCAGGTATTATAAAAGGTCATTTTTTCGTCTATCGTTTTGTCTTTCTGAGCGAAGAGAATTGCTCTCTGGGCATCGGCGAATGTTCTTTGATCGGTTGCCATTCTGGAAATAAAAAACACAGCTGCTCACACCAATTCTCTACTGACATTTTATGAAGTGAGCAGCCATTTCCTTTTTGAACAAGGCAGTTATAATAATATAATAATCCATGCATTTGATATAGCGCTTTTCATGTCTTCTCGACGTCTCAAAGCGCTTCACAGAATAGACTGTAAAGTGAATTGACCGTATATTTGTAGGCGAAACGCGGCAGCCAATTGCGCACAGCACGTTAGGCCTTAAGAAACCTTGGGCAAGTTTCCTAATAATAATCCCTCCAAAAAAAAAAAAATGGTCATTTTCAATCCACGATTATTTATGGGACGCCACTGTGCGCAATTGGCTGCCGCGTTTCGCCCACAAATATACAGTCAATTCACTTTACAGCATATTCTGTGAAGCGCTTTGAGACGTCGAGAAGACATGAAAAGCGCTATATCAAATGCCAGGATTATTATTATTATTAAGTATATGAATAAAACGTGTATTATCTACACTCGCCTACAGGAGACACAGTCAGTGCACATTACAGTATATCCCGAGAAGAGTTCCTGACATGAAAGGCGCCATATGAAATGCAGCATTATTGTTATGATTATAAACATGGGTCATTTCGCAGGACATATTGGAGGTTTTGCATGATAAAAATCTCATTGTGCATGCTTCGAAATGTTTATTTTCATCTGGTTTAGCCAAGTGGGTGAATTAGGAGTTCTGCCATCTATTTGACAGGAGACGGTGCCGGTTGCTGTGTGAGAGAGCTCCAGTTTACTTGGCTCTTTATGGCAACATGTCTCCAAATTACCACATTGCATAACCCCCGCTCTCTTTCAATCTCTGTAAATGTTTCCTCGGCGCCTTCAACAAAAACAAACATTCAAATCTTACCACATTTTTGATTTGATTTTAAATCAATTAGTATCTGTTCAGAGAAACATCGTTTTGGGGCAATCGACCAGAAGATTTGCTTATTATGTAATCACTTCATTGTTGGAATTGTCAACATGATCACAAACTTAGGAAAAGTAACTTCATACCTCTGCGACACAATGGCGTCCGGTTTGTGAGAGTTGAGGATGATAATACTTGCATTTTGCATCGCAGCTTTGGGAGAACGTCTGAAAGCTCTTCACAGGATTCAACTGTAAGGTGTAGTGACCGTGTATTTGCGTAGACGAACCTGCGGTCGATTTGCCCACAGCAAATCCCTTCGTGAGAGTCGTGGCCGGTTTGCGGGGGGGAGTGGGCGGGCGAGAGGGAAGGTGGGGCAGGAGGGGTTGGAGCCCACAGACCCGATGTTGATGAGGATGCAGTGATGGGATGGACAGCGCTCACTCCCAGGTGATGGCAGGACTGAACCGAGCAATGACGGCTCCACTATAAAATTGTTTGGCCGAGCTCACGGATACAGAGGGGTCACTTAGACACCGACAGACGTCGGGGCCCGTGAATCATTCCAGAGTAAAGGTCTGAGCTACGTGGAAAACGATAAGAGGCCATAATGCGACGATCAATTTATTCCTCGTGGTGTACCTCACACACAACTGTTTAACGTGTTGTACATTTACTCTATGTTCATTCCCGCGCGTCTTTACGTCTTTGCTGCCGGAGATTTCTGAAACCATCGCGTTTCCTTCTCTCTTTCACACTTCAAAAACCCGACAGCCGTCACTCCGCCCTCGCGCCGCCCCGACAGCCGTCACTCCGCCCTCGCGCCGCCCCGACAGCCGTCACTCCGCCCTCGCGCCGCCCCGACAGCCGTCACTCCGCCCTCGCGCCGCCCCGACAGCCGTCACTCCGCCCTCGCGCCGCCCCGACAGCCGTCACTCCGCCCTCGCGCCGCCCCGACAGCCGTCACTCCGCCCTCGCGCCGCCCCGACGTCACTCAGCCCTCGCGCCGCCCCGACGTCACTCAGCCCTCGCGCCGCCCCAACGTCACTCCGCCCTCGCGCCGCCCCGACAGCCGTCACTCCGCCCTCGCGCCGCCCGACAGCCGTCACTCCGCCCTCGCGCCGCCCGACAGCCGTCACTCCGCCCTCGCGCCGCCCCGACGTCACTCAGCCCTCGCGCCGCCCGACGTCACTCAGCCCTCGCGCCGCCCCAACGTCACTCCGCCCTCGCGCCGCCCCGACAGCCGTCACTCCGCCCTCGCGCCGCCCGACAGCCGTCACTCCGCCCTCGCGCCGCCCCGACAGCCGTCACTCCGCCCTCGCGCCCCCCGACAGCCGTCACTCCGCCCTCGCGCCGCCCCGACAGCCGTCACTCCGCCCTCGCGCCGCCCCGACAGCCGTCACTCCGCCCTCGCGCCGCCCCGACAGCCGTCACTCCGCCCTCGCGCCGCCCCGACAGCCGTCACTCCGCCCTCGCGCCGCCCCGACAGCCGTCACTCCGCCCTCGCGCCGCCCCGACAGCCGTCACTCCGCCCTCGCGCCGCCCCGACGTCACTCAGCCCTCGCGCCGCCCCAACGTCACTCCGCCCTCGCGCCGCCCCGACAGCCGTCACTCCGCCCTCGCGCCGCCCCGACGTCACTCCGCCCTCGCGCCGCCCCGACAGCCGTCACTCCGCCCTCGCGCCGCCCCGACGTCACTCCGCCCGACCACTGCGCGCGCACTTTCTTCCCCTTCGCGAAGGTCCTCCTTCGTTGTGAATTCTTTACCCGCGACTTTACCGTTATTACGCACCTAAACCGCGGCCTCCGGACAGCACTGCCCTCGCGCTCTCCTTCCCGAACACAACACACGGGAGTGACCGCTCCGCGCGCCCCGTCACAACACGTCGCGAGCCGCGTCAGACCCTCGCCCCGACCCTCCCTCCCCCCGACCCTCCCGATCCCCCCCCCTCTCCCCCTGCCCCCCCCTCCCCTCGCCCCACCCCTCGCCCCCCTCCCCCCTCCCTCCCCCTCCCCTACCCTCGCCCTCCCCCTCCCCTCGCCCCTCGCCCCTCCCCTCCCCCCCCCCCTCCCCTCCCCTCGCCCCTCCCCTCCCCTCGCCCTCCCGCCCCTCCCCTCGCCCCTCCCCTCCCCCTCGCCCCGCCCCTCGCCCCCCCTCGCCCCTCCCCTCCCCCCGCCCTCCCCTCCCCCTCGCCCCTCCCCTCCCCTCGCCCTCGCCCCTCCCCTCCCCTCGCCCCTCGCCCCGCCCCTCCCCTCGCCCCCTCGCCCCTCCCCTCCCGCCTCCCCTCCCCTCGCCCCTCCCCTCCCCTCGCCCCTCCCCTCCCCTCGCCCCTCCCCTCCCCTCGCCCCTCTCCTCCCCTCGCCCCTCGCCCCGCCCCTCACCCCTCCCGCCGCCCCTCGCCCCTCCCCTCGCCCCTCCCCTCGCCCCGCCCCGCCCCTCACCCCTCCCGCCGCCCCTCGCCCCTCCCCTCGCCCCGCCCCTCACCCCTCCCGCCGCCCCTCGCCCCGCCCCTCACCCCTCCCGCCGCCCCTCGCCCCGTCCCTCGCCCCGCCCCTCCCCTCGCCCCGCCCCTCCCCTCGCCCCGCCCCCTCCAGCAGATCAGACATTGGGGCGGTGATTGCTTTCTTCCCACTCGGCTCCTGTTGACCTGACCCAGTGAAGCCCGAGCCCTACCCGGCCCTACCCGGCCCGGTCCGTGATCCCATCCTGTCCAGCAGTGGGGAGCTGACCGGGGCGGTGGGCGCCCGCGGTGCCGAGCTGCGCGGTGTCAGCTGCTTACACTTCCTACAGTCCCCGCGGTCTCCACTCGAGTACCCAAGTCATCTCCAAAATCAGGTCAACAGAATATGTCTCTCCGCCCAGTGTTCCAGACCACAGGAAATTCCATATATATATGTCAAACTCAGTCTGGTTTGACCACTTTTAAGCCTGACATTGTGTCTCAGCCCGACCAAGAAATCCGTTGAAGGCGAAACATTTTTATAAGGGTTTAATTTGAATGTAGTCAGGAGGAGCAGTTTGAACAGGACAACAGAATATACTTCCCCTAAACATCCTTTCACTGTTCAACTTCGGAGATCAGATATAACTCAACACAGACTTGGATTTCAACCCGCAAGTGTTCGGCCTGTTTTGGTAGTTTGTTTTGTTTGCGCGTGAAATTAACGGTACCGCTCGCACCCAATCGAACCACTTCTTGACATTAATGGGTGGGGGATTTTTCATAAAACTTTTGCTGGACAGTGAAAAAATGTAATACCGACATGTCCATTTGTGTATGTGAAAGGGTTCTGGGCCGAGATAGAGACTCCTGTCATCACGTGGCACAGGAATGAGAAAAGCACAGAAAACAATGTGTTTTGCGAAATTCCTTTATCTACTGACAATATGAAAATGAAAGTGAAGGCGTTGGCAATACAGTGAAGGAATAGCTGTGCCCCCAATGCATTGGACCATTACTATTGAGGCACAAATCCTGTGAACAAATACGGACCAAGAGAAAGCGGTACGTGAATCAGTATCTTCCCATATAACACTTGGATAAAGGTGTATTTTCATGGAAAGGTAATAACATTGAATGAACTCCTTGTTCAGGAAGGGGAATAATTTAATTATATTTCTGAGTTTCGCTGAGTGAATGAACGCTCTGCTGTCAAACATGGTAATAACTACTGTAGCTCAGTGGTTAGAGCACTCGCCTTGCAAGCGAGAGACCTGGGTTCAGGTCCAGGCAGCGGGAAACCTCGGGCAAGTTTCCTTACCCCACACAGAGCCAAATAGTAATCCCTCCAAAACAAAAAAAACCAATAATAAATTGGTCATCTTCAATCCACGGCTGTTGGTGGGGACGTTGCTGTGCGCAATGGGCGGCCGCGTTCGCCCACAAATATACAGTCAGTTCACTTCACAGTGTGTTCTGTGAGACGTCGAGAAGCCGTGAAAAGCGCTGTATCAAATGCAAAGATGATGATGATGATGATGATGATGATTATTATTGGGCGGGTGAAGTTGCTGTGTCGGCCACCAGGCGGCAGGAGAGAGCAGCTCAGCCCCCAGTGAAACCCGGAGCAGCGCAGCGACGAGTGTCCGTCAGTCGGAGCACTCCGGGACCG